TAGGTTTATTCCTAGATATTTTATTCTTTTTGGTGCGATGGTAAATGGGATCATTTCCTTAATTGGTTTTCTGCTTTTTTGTTGTTAGTGTATAGAAATGGAACTAATTTCTGTGTATTAATTTTGTATCCTGCAACTTTACCAAATTTATTGATTAGGTCTAGTAGTTTTCTGGTCGCCGCTTTTGAGTTTTCTATGCATAGTATCATGTCATCTGCAAACAATGACAATTTTACTTATTCATTTCCATTTTAGATTCATTTTATTTCTTTTATTCTCTGATTGTTATGGCTAGGACTTCCCAAACTATGTTGAATAAAAGTGGTGAGAGTGGACATCCTTGTCTTGTTGCTGATCTTAGAGGAAATGCTTTCAGCTTTTCTCCATTAACTATCATGTTAGCTATGGGTTTGTCATATATGGCCTTTGTTATGTTGATGCATGTTCCGTCTGTGCCCACTTTATGGAGAGTTTTCATCATAAATGGATGTTGAATTTTATTGAAAGCTTTTTCTGATCTATTGGGACGATCATGTTGTTTTCATTCTTCAATTTGTTAATGTGGTATATAACATCAATTGATTTGCAGATACTGAAAAATCCCTGCATCCCTGGGATAAATCCCACTTGATCATGGTGTATGATCTTTCTAATGCACTGTTGCAGTTGGTTTGCTAGTATTTTATTTGAGGATTTTTACATCTATATTCATAAGTTATACTGGCCTGTAATTTTCTTTTTTTGTGATATCTTTGGTTTCAGTATCAGGGTGATGATGGCCTCATAGAATGTCTTTTTTTGTGATATCTTTGTCTGGCTTCAGAATCAGGGTGATGATGGCCTCATAGAATGAGTTTGAAAGTTTTCCTTCCTCTGCAATTTTCTGGAACAGTTTCAGAAGAATAGGTGTTAACTCCTCTCTAAATGTTTGGTAGAATTCACCTGTAAAGCCATCTGGTCCTGAACCTTTGCTTATTGGAAGATTTTTAGTTACTGATTCAATTTCAGTACTGGTAATTGGTTTATTCATATTGTCTATTCCTGGTTCAGTCTTGGTAAATTGTACCTTTCTAAGAAATTGTCCATTTCTTCTAGGTCGTCCTTTTTGTTGGCGTATAGTTGCTTATAATAGCCTCTTATGATCCCTTGTATTTCTGTGGTATCAGTTGTAACTTCTGCTTTTTCATTTCTGAAATGAAATTTTATTAATTTGGGCCCTCTCCCTTTGATCAACATGAGTCTGATTAAGGGTTTATCAATTTTTTTTTATCTTTTCAAAGAAACAGCTTTTAGTTTCATTGATCTTTTCTATTTTTTTTTAGTCTCTATTTCATTTATTTCTTCTCTAATCTTTATTATTTCTTTTCTTCTACTAACTTTGAGTTTTGTTTGTTCTTCATTCTCTAGTTGCTTTATGTGTAACATTAGGTTATTTATTTGAGATTTTTCTTCTTTCCTGAGGTAGGCTGTCTCACTATAAACTTCCCTCTTAGAACTGCATATGCTGCATCCCAGACGTTTTGGATCATGTGTGTTTTCATTTTCTTTTGTCCCAGAGTATTTTTTGACTTCCTCTTTGATTTATTCAGTGATCCATTGGTTGTTTAGTAGTGTATTGTTTAGCCTCCACATGTTTGCAGTTCTTGCAGTTTTTTTCTTATAGTTGATTTCTAACCTCATAGCATTGTGGTTAGAAAAGATGCTTGGTATGGTTTCAATTTTCTTAAATTTACTGAGGCTTGCTTTGTGGCCAGCATGTGGTCGATTCTGGAGAATGTTCCGTGTGCACTTGAGAAGAATGTGTAGTCTCTTGCTTTTGGATGGAATGCACTGTGTTTCACTATTACTGTGTATTGTCCATTTCTCCTCTTATGTCTTAACAATCGCATTATATATTGAGGTGCTCCTATGTTGGATGAATATATGCTTACAATTGTTGTAGCCTCTTGGATTGATCCCTTGAACATTATGTAGTGTCCTTTGTCTCTTGTAACAGTCTTTATTTAAAAATCTATTTTGTCTGATATAAGTATTACTACTCCAGCTTTCTTTTGCTTTCTGTTTGCATGGAATGCCTTTTTCCATTCCCTTACTTTCTGCTTGTGTCTCTAGCTCTGAAGTTGTCCCTTGTAGACAGCATATCTGTGGGTCTTGTCTTTGTATCCATTTAGCCAGACTATGTCTTTAGGTTGGAACGTTTAATTCATTTACATTTAAGGTAGTTATTGATATGTATGTTCTTATTTCTGTCTTATTAATTGTTTTGAATTTGTTTCTGTAGGTCTTTTTTTTGTCTTCTTTTTGTTTTCTTTTCTTGTGATTTGATAACTAGAGAAGTTCCTTTAACATTTGTTGTAAAAACCGGTTTGGTGGTGCTGAATTCTTTCAGCTTTTTGTTTATCTGTGAAGCTTTTGATTTCTCCATCAAATCTGAGCCTTACTGAATAGAGTATTCTTGGTTTAAGTTTCCCCCTCGCATCACTTTAAATATATCCTGCCACTTCCTTCTGGCCTGTAGAGTTTCTGCTGAAAAATCATCTGATGACCTTATGGGAGTTCCTTTGTATGTTATTTATTGCTTTTCTCTTGCTGATTTAAATATTTTCTCCTTATCCTTAATTTTTGTCAATTTGATTACTATGTGCCTCAACGTGTTCCTCTTTAGGTTGATTCTGTGTCGAACTCTCTGAGCTTCCTGGACTTGGGTGACTGTTTCCTTTCCCAATTTAGGAAAGTTTTTGGTTATTATCTCTTTAAAAATTTTCTCAGATCCTTTCTCTCTTCTCCTTATGGGACCCTTATGATGAGAATATTAGTGTGCTTGATGTTGTCCCAGACTTCCCTTAAACTATCCTTGTTTCTTTTCATTCTTGTTTCTTTTTTCTCTTCTGCAGAAGTGATTTCCACTAGTCTGTCTTCTAGCTCACAGATCTGTTCTTCTCCCTCATTTAGTCTATTCTTGATCCCTTCTAGTGTGTTACTCATTTGAATAATTTTATTATTCAACTCTGTTTGGGTATTCTTTATGTTTTCCAACATTTTCTAAAAACTTTGCTCTGTGTATCGATACTCCTCTTGAGATCTCTGAACATCTTCACCATCATTACTCTAAACTCTTTCTTGGATTGATAGCCTATCTCTTCATCACTTATTTCTACTTCTAGGATTTTATCTTGTCCCTTGGCCTGGAAGATGTTCCTCTGCTGCCTCATATCTTCTATCTTTCTGTTTGTATTTTTAGGTAGATTATTTACATATCTCATCCTTGGAGAAGTAGCCCTCTGTGGGAGATGTCCTATTTGCCCTGGCAGTACACTGCTCTCTTGTCACCCAAGGGCCAGAGTCCAGCCAGTCCCAGGGTAGAGTCTGGCCCTTGTTTGTGAATTCTTTTCACAGGCTTTGGGATTGTTGTTTTCTTATTTCTGGTATCTGCTCCCTGGTAGGTGAGACTGGACTAGAGGCCTATTATGCAGGCTTCCTGGCAAGAAGAATCTGCCTGCCCATTGCTGGGTAGAAGTTGGTCCTGGTGTGTAGTGGCATGTCTAGAGGCTCAGGAAGTCTGCTGATGGGTGTGACTGCATTTCCATGTATGTTGTTTGGCCTGAGGCTTCCCAGTCCTTAAACCTGTAGGCTGTTGGGTGGGGCTAGGTCTTGGTGCTAATTATCCAGTCAACACATTAGCCTCCAGGAAAGCTCATGTCCATGAACACTACCTGAATATCCACCAGCAGCTTCTAGGTTCCCCAGGTGGCCGCAGCTGTCCCCTACCTCGCTAGAAGACCTTCCAAAGCCAGCAAGTAAGTCTGGCCCAAGTTCTTGTGAAATCACTGCCTCTGCCCTTGGACCTGGAGCCCGTGACATTCTGTGTATGCTTCCCAAGAGAATGAAGTCTCTGTTTCCCTCAGTCCCATGGGACTTCTGGAGTTAAGCCCTGATAGACTTCAAAACCAGATGTTCTACGGTGTCCTCCTCCCAGTGCTGGAACCCAGGCTGGGAAGCCTGACGTGGGGCTTAGAAATCTCACTCTGGTGGGAGGGCCTCTGCAAGTTATTATTATTCAGCTTGTGGGTCACCCACCCGGGGATATGGGGCCCAATTATATTGTGAACATGTCCCTCCTCCTGTCTTGCTGTGGTTTCCTCTTTGTATTTCCAGTAGTTCTTTTTTCCTAGGTTCCAGTCTGTTTTTTCAATGGTTGTTTACCAGTCAGTTGTGGTTTTGTTGTAGTCATGAGGAGAGGTGGGCTTGTGGTCCTACTACTCTGCCATCTTGTCCAGAAATCTCTCCTTCCCAGGTTTTCTTTTTATTGTGGTAAAATACACATAACATAAAAATTACCAATTTAGCTATTCTAAAGTGTACAATTCAGTGAAGTTTATTACATTCACAATGTGGTGCACCCATAGTTACTATCTAGTTCCATAAGATTTTCTAAGTATTTCAAAAGAATATCCTCTACCCATTAAATAGTCCTTGCCCATTCCTCCCTCCCTACAGCCCCTAACAGCTACTAATCTGTTTCTGTGTGTATGAACTTGCCAGATGTCATTTTTAATCAGATCAGATCGCTATCTTTAAAAGCTCTATAAACATATTCCAAATACATCTGACTTTTCAAGAGTGAGCAAAGACTTTTCATTTTAAGCTATACTCCACATATACAGTGTATGAAGACTGAAGTTATGAGATAGAGCAAAGGGTGGGACAGACAGCGGTGTCCAAACATTGTGATAAGTAAGGGGATTCAGAGATCTAGCACCCAAGTAACCAAGTACTCAGTATTCCTGATGCTATTGGAGTCCACTTTAGTAACATCACTGACACTGGTCTTAAACTCATCCCTGTTACTGCTTGTTGTGTCTGGGCGGAAATGCCACTGCCCTCCTTTGGACTGGGATTTCTCATCTATAGATTGAAAGATCAGATTAAATGATTTGCAACATTTCTTCCAGCTTCAGGACTTCTTTATAACTTGATTTATCTTCATCTGTTCATTCCGGGGCACGACTATATTAACATCGTTGACTTCTGTGCTACATGATGACAAAGAATTCCCCAACCCAGAGGTGTTTGACCTGCCCACTTCTTGGATGATAGTGGCAGCTTTAAGAAAAGTAACTACTTTATGGCTTTCTCAGCAGGTAATTAAAATTACTTTCCTAAGATACTTCAGGGGACAAGAAATGTTTTTGCAACCAGTTGGAACTTACATGGTGCTCACTCAGGGGCTGCTAGAATTGCACTTTGTTCATGATTACAAGCACCACTCCCAGTGCCCATGCACTTTCCACTTACTCATCGTACATCTGCCTTATTGAAAGTCTGGGGAGGTGACCCAGTTCTTCCAAAGTGAGAAAGCTCAAAAATAGGTAGATTGAATTCTGCCTCTAGATGTATCACTGAGCTACCCACAAGCTCTTCTTAGCAGGTGAAACTCATCTAGACTTTTTTTGCCTGCCATGTATTTTTTATATGATATCCCTCACTTCCCAGGCTTCCCAGAATGATGCCAAAGAGGCTAACATCCTACCTGGGAAGGGAGGTTAGTAAACAGATCAATGTAATTCATTAAGCATAGTGTTGTGAGAGAGGAGCGCACAGGCTGCCAGGAGACCAAGAGGGAAGCTACCTCCTTTCTGGTCACTCATACCCCACAGTGAGGCCTAAAATGGGTAAGCAACATTCCAACAGCAGAATGGTAATTTAACCTGCACCACAGAGGACATGGAGCAAGGGAAAAAGAGAGAGCAAGGCACTTTTATAGGAGCAGGACATTTCCTGTAGTTTGAGAAGGTCAGAAACTCCCAACAAATTGTGGTGTAAGGAAGTTCTTCGGAATGTGGCAGGATACTGTGCAGTGGTTCCAGAGCACCATGATCTTCCTCCACTCTTGATCAGAGGTCTTGGATGTTGGGTCTTCATGGCTACAGCGTGTGCTGATTTCTGACTACAGAACCACTTTTATTTATTCAGTGGTTTTTGATGCCTGCTTTGGGTCTTGCTCTGAATATACCGAGATGTCAAGGACTGAGCCCTCTCCAAGGAATGCACATTTCAGCATAGCAGAAAAATAAATAAGCAGAGAATTTCAACTCAAGGTGATCTGTGCTTCAATTGAAGTGTGAGAGTGATGCTGAGGAAAACCCAGGGTGGGCAAAATTCTGTTGCCTGTGAAGATCACAAAGATTGTAAAGAGGAAATGAAATGGGACCTAGGTCCTGAAGGAAGTATAAGAGAAGTGCATCTTAGCCAAATGGAACAGCACAAGACAAAGCTAGAAACTCCAGGTATGTTAGGAATTGATGAGTGGATATGGCTAGTGCTGAGACTAGAGGGTATGAAGAATGGAAGGAATGATAGGGAACATCAGACTGGGAACAAAATATGAAGGACCAGTTTAATCCATATTTGGACCTCATCTCATGGAACAGATGGGAGAGACATTTAATATTTTAAAGTGGGAGAGTGACACATTTAGACACATGCTTTTAAAAGCACAGGAAGGAAAAGAATCTTTGGCTGAGTTTGGTGCCAGAGGTAGAAAGGGAAACACAGATACATGAGTTCCCACCTCTCAGTTCTACCTTCAACCTGTCTGGAGAAGCAGAGTGAGGATATTTCTACAAAGACTGATGGAAACTGGAAATGGAAAAGAGCAGTTATAATGTGGGCATACATAATGAAATGCTTGATATAGAGCTGACACTCAAATATTTGTTGAATGAAAGGTTCTCATTAACATAATAGGTGAATAGTGAATGTGTCCATCCTTCTGTCCATCTGTCTCTTAAACCATCCTCCAGCCCTCCATCTAGTCATTCATTCATTAAATAGTTACTGCATATGTTTTGTTACAGTTCCCAACGTATTATTCTCGGAAGAAATCCCCTCTGTGTGTTATTTTCAGGAAAACGAATGTGTTGGAGAGGGCCTGGCCCGCATGGAGCTGTTTTTATTCTTGACCACCATTTTACAGAAATTTACCCTGGAATCTGTAGTTGACCCTAAGGATATCGACACCACCCTAATTTCTAGTGGGTTTGGCCATGTGCCACCCTTGTACCAGCTCTGCTTCATTCCTGTGTGATGAAGGGCACACCATCCAGCTGCTGCTGTGCTGTTGTCTCTAATTCCCCCTCCTTTTTCTCACTACCAGGGATGATTTCTCTTGCCACTTAATCTCACATCTTCCCATTCCATCAATATCCACTGAACATCCAGCCTCCATTGTACGTGAGATTCCTGAATTTTATTGAATAAATATATGTGCTGTTCTTTTTAGTCTGTAACACTTCTTTTGGCCACCACAAATGCTAACACTTATCTAATATTGACTTAGTACTATGTTATCACTGTGAAAGAGAGAAGAATGAGGAGTGTAAGCCAGTACACAGCCATTTGTCCTCTGCATGTTCTAAATAAAAAGCCTCAGTATTTGCTGGGCCTGTTCTCAAACTTTCCTTCTTTGTATGTAATACAGGTAAGAAAAGGAAGAAAATAGAGCCCAAGAGGCCTTACTTGTCCTTTATGATGAGCACTGAGAGGGACATAGGGGAATGGGCCAGAAAAACTCTCTTGGCTGAGTGTCTCCTACAGTTACTTGAGGTTTGGATTTGAAAGTGAGAGAAATTATATTCAGGAGCAGCTCCAACCTGTAGGGAAACAATGAGAAGATCAGCAATGGGAGGAATGAACAATAAGGGTTGGAACTCATTTCTTGGCTTTGGTGTCACTGTGAATGCTAATTAAAGACATACCATGTTCTCATTACTACATGTTTCAAGGTTACAGTCAAATATTATCATATGCTTTCATATTTCTAATAACATCTTCTAAATGTTATTCTTTTCTTCCTGAATGAGAACAAAACCCCTGCAAGGCATCAGCAAATTCTATTTTTTATACCTTCTTTCACACTGTTTTATATTTAATGTAAGAGTGATGAATAGCATGATGCTATGATCCTGAAGTCTTCAGTCTCATGTCATCTCTAAAGTGTAGATGACTGAACATTTTGTACAAGTCAAATTATTGGCATCATTTGCCTGCCTTCTGTCTTGAAGTGCGTGAAAAGAGAAGTGGTATCACCCATTCACCTTTTACTAGCTTATCTCCCAGAGAAATCCATTTATTCTTTAGTATGCATTTTAAGTTAACACATGGATATATATGTACATAGATATCTGTACATATGTATGTGCATAAGTAAGTGGTCACAGTGATATATATTGTGTACACACATTTGCATATGAGATGAAACATGATTCTTTACAATATTGGGTTCATACAACACATTGTTCTACAACTTGCTGTTTTTGCACTAAGTAATGTCAGGAAAACCTCTAAGTTATAAATAATTTGAAGGGACAGATTACAGAAGAGGAAATGGAAGTGATATTAAACATATGAAAAGTCTTACAAAGTGCAAATTAAAACTATATTACTTTGAACCTTCTTGGTTGGTAAATGAAAAAAAGTTTAATGTATTAGTAAATGTGTAGGATACAGGCAGTCTTATATTTGTTCTAATGTCACCTTCTTAGTGAAGTCTGAGAATCTTATTAAAACTTGTAATCTCCCCTCCATCATCACCTTTCCCATCCTTCAACTTCTGACTTCCCTTATATAGTTTTTGGTACTTTGTATGTTTTATGTTACTGTGTCTTTCTCATAAACCTAGAAGGTAGGTAGTATTTGTATTAGTTTTCTCTTGTTGTTGTAACAAATGACCACAAATTTAGTGGCTCAGAATTTCACAGATTTATTCTCTTACAATCCTGGAGTTCAAAAGTGAAATGTCACTTTCAGTGGGCTAAAATCCAGGTGTCAGCTGGGCTGCTTCCTCTGGAGGTTCTAGGAGACTGTCATTTCCCCATGTTTTTCAGCTTCTGGATACAGCCAGCATCCTTTGGCTCATGACACCTTCCTCACATGGCTCTATCCTCTTGCTTATCTCCTAGTACTTACGCTAATCTCCCTGTCTTCCTCTTACAATGACCCTGTAAATACATTTGGTCCACCTGGGTGATTTACCTCCTCATCTTACTGTCCTTAACATAATTATATTTGCAAAGTCCCTCTTACCATTTAAAGTGAGTTATTTTATTATTTGTTATCAGAAATAATCTTTATCAAGATTAATCTGTAACCATAATGAAAAGCATAGTGTCCAGTTGTGCCTTGAAAGAGCAAGTATAAATACATGGCCATTTTAGATGAGAAAGGATATGAAAACAGATTTATTTCAGGTACACCTTTCCTTTTAGAAATGGCCTTTAACATCTTGCTCATTTGAGGGGCATTGGAGCCTTCTGATGGGAGCTGAGTGTACAGTTTAGTTAGTTTTGACAAACACCAACACCTGAGTAACCACACCCTATCAAGCTATAGAACAATCCCAACCCCCTGACATGTTCCCTCACCTCCTTTCTGGTCAATCCCCAACCTTAGAAGCAACCAGTGTTCTAATTTCTAGCACGATACATTAGTTTTACGTCTTTAGGACCTTTATAGAAATAGACATTTTTGAATGATGAAATTGATTCATGCAAATACCATACTTAAGAGATTTTTAAAGTTATCTTTTTAAACCACTGAAGAAAATCTAGTTTTGGAAGCCTGCTAAGTTGATTACGAGCTTAGTCATAATTCACCCAGCATATGCTACTACACTTATATGGCAGAAAAGTAGATATGAGTATCTTACAGCTAATAACCTTTAAAAAATAAATTGTCACTGGAAGTCTAGGTGTGGTGTACATCTGTTTGTTTTAGAGAAACACTTCAGTTAACTTTCATTTTATATAAGCCCGAATGGAATTTGGGGATTTTTTCCTTGTTAAAAGATAATTAATATGGAATTTGGGATAATCACATTAATAATTGGGATAATTAATATGAATACTTCCTGCAGGGGTTGAGGAACTTCTTAAATCCTAAAACTCTTTTTGAGCATTTGCTTTCTCTTTAATCTGTATGTTTATTCAGTAAATATTTGCTGAACAATTAGTTCCTGCATACAGGGCCTGGACTAGGAATTAAGTGTCTTTTTTTCCTGCACATTTTCCTTAGATATCATTTTCTATTTATCTAGATGTCCATGTTCTAATCCCCAGGACCAGTGAATAACTCATTTTAAACAGTCAGATGGAATTTGCAAATATAATTAATTTAAGGAAATTAAGATGAAGAGGTAATCCTAAATTATCCAAGTGGACCAAATGTATTCACAAAGTCCTTGTAAGAGGAAGGCAAGGAGATCAGTGTAAGTACTAGGAGGTAAGCAAGAGTATGGAGCCATGTGAAGATGGTGTCATGAGCCAAAGGTTGCTGGCTGCATCCAGAAGCTGAAAAACATGGGGAAATAGACTGTCTTCTAGAACCTCTAGAGGAAGCAGCCCTGCTGACTCCTTAATTTTATTCCAGTGAAAGTGTTACTGCACCTTTGAACTCCAGAATTCTAAGAGAATAATCTTTAAGTGTGAAGGACTAATAAGGACTTTCAGTCAAACAATATTGAGTGAATTTGTCTCTAATTTTGCCTTACAAGGAATATTAGAATTTCTTCAGAGAGAAGAAAAATAATATACATAAAAACTTTAATCTGCATAAACAAGGGAGGTGCATCCCAGAAGAAACAATGGAAGGTAACATAACCATTTTATTTTTATTACTCTTGATTTATGTAACAGGATAGTTTATTTGCAATAATAATAGAAATAATATATTTTTTGATTATAGAATGTGAATAAATGAAATATGAGAGCAAAGATATTAGTGATGGTAGGGAGTATTTAAGTATACTTTTACGAGATACTTGCACTTCATATGAAGCGCTATTGGCTTATTTGAAAATGGACTTGGGTTAGTTGTAAATGTATATTTCAGACTCTAGGGAAATCTCCAAAAATGAAGCAATAAAAAGTAAGTATAAGTAATATGTTGAGAAAGGAGAGGAGTTGAGTGATGTCAGAAGCACAGTGGCATAAAACATTCTTCCTTTGTCTACTCCCTTTAAATAAATAATTAGCGATCCATCCATGAACAAAAGTGATTTAGTGGGACTATGGGACCCAGAACCCTAAGCCAAGAAATCTGGGAGACCTCTTGCCTACCTTTGTATCTGGAAATAGACAGACAGACCTCAATAAAGGCTGAAGATTTAAGGTAGTTAGTGAACCTGCCCCATCCCCTTCTGGCTGAAGTCAGGAGAATGTTGACCTGAGCAGATACCTCTGGGTGAGGGAGAATTTGTCAAATCTAGTCTGTTTGGAGAGGAGATTCTACCAGTTGGCAGCTTCTCCTGCAGAGAAATTAGAAATCAGTAAGTGTGTGCCTGGCTACCCTCATTGTGTGGATTGCATCTGGAGAAGCTTAGCACCCAGAGTACTAAGGCAGGACTTCCATGACTGGGGGCTGGGAAGAGAAAGGAAAAGAAGTATAATTTCAAAGGGCATTAAAGGGACACGGTCCCTGCTGACTACTTCAAGACTTCAGAAAGAAGTCTGCATAGAAACCTTGAGGAGTAACCCACCTGAGGATCTCCCCACAGGTTCTGCAGGCATTACCAATTCCTGGAGTGCTAAACCCACATGTCCTCCTCCTTTGCAACTGGAGTCTGCTCCTGATATTGGTGGTGAGAGCAAATCCAGAAATTACAGTGGTCTCAGAAAAACAGACCAGGGTTTTTGGCAAGAAGGAAACTATAAACTAGAGCTACAGTGCTATCAACTGGAAAACCAAAAAGAAGTTTCCAGCAGTCCATCTAGTTAGTTTTAAGAGGAGAAAATACAGAAGATTAAGAATTCTACTGCACGAGGGAGCAAAAAAGAGTGTATGTTTTCTCCATTCAAAACCTAGGAAATCCCAGATATAGCAACACCAAGGAGCAATACAACCATCTGAAGACAACCAGTTAAGATTTAAGGAAGTTTCTGCTATTTCATACGTGAAAGCAGCAAAGCAAAACTATAAAGAACATGAAAAATCAATAAAATAGGTCACTGCCAAAAGCTATCATTAATTCTTTAACACGTGAGTTCAAATCTATGGAATATTGTGATCTAGCCAACAAAGAATTCAAAATAGCTGTTTTGGAAAAAATTCACTATCTACAAGAAAACTCATAAATTATGACAGTTCAATGATACAAAAAAACCCCAAATGAGCTCTTTATCAAAGAGATGAAAATCTTAAAAAGAAAAACAAAACAATTCTGGAGCTGAAGAATTCAGTGGATGAGTTGAAGAATGCAATAGAGAGCGTAAGTAATAGAGTAGAGC